AGGGGAAAAAAAGACGTTTAAGTGTGCCTTATAGTCGTGAAAATACGGTACATGTTTATTACATTACTTTTGGGCTCCTTGGGGCTGATTAAACTGAAGTGAAGGGAGGGATTTGACTTTAGCATTTGGTTTGAGTGAGGAAGGGATACTTATAATAAAACCCTAAATTTATTGTCCAGAAAGTTTAGTATGACAACAATTTCTTTTTTAATTAGTGAAAGTCATGGTGAGTGAAATGGTAAAACGTGTTCAAGACCACGGACTACAACAGTGGTTGATCTAAAACACTCCTGAATCTAAATAAATTTCGCCTGGGAGGTTTAAAAAAAAAAAAAACTGACCTTTTTTTTCTTTTGTTTTTACCAATATTATTTTCAGAGAAATTTGATTTCAGGTTTTCTATCATCTGAAAACCACAACAAATAAAAAAAAAAAAAAGGAAAGATGTGTCTAAATATGTAAACTTTTAAACTGTACCTTTTATATGACATTGTATAGGAAATAACAGAGTCAATGTTTTGATTTGTGAGACTTGTATTCATATCCAAGTAAAGAGCAGCCCTGCTTACCATCTCAACCAGCTTCTCCAGAAAAGGGACCAGTTTTAGCAGCTCGTTGTCATTCTTATCCATGAACCAGCTCTCTATTGGAATCCCATTGGATAACTGTGGAGACAAAAGACAACTTGTGAGAAAGGACTGGTGTATGTCTAGCTGACCTGAACAAGTATGCCAGCAACTTGGTGAATCTGACATCAGATGGACATGAAAAGGAGTAGAGAGAGTCACTGATATCGCCTCAATTGGGAGAAGGAAAAAAAACAAAATATTTGAAGGATAAAAAATAAAAACGAACTTTATTTTTGGCATTATTTCCATGCAGGCTTCTTCATCAAATGATGCCAAAAAGACTTCATGACAGAAATTTATTACAATGTCATCACTATTACCATTATCTTCACAATTGTATAATTTTTACTTTGTGCTGCATTTACGGTCTTCATTTTACCTGATATGCAAAGGCCTGTGGGGAATTGTCAATGATGATGGTCTTTGACAGATCTCTGCCCAAGATGTTGAGGTCCTTAATATAGTTTCCCTGGACACAGACGCAATGCTCACGAAATAACCGGTGTCTACATTTACCAAAGGGGGAAAAAAATAAAATAAAGAAGAGAAGAAAAAAAAAAAAATCAGTATTGCTGTCAGCAAGATCAATAATTTACAAACACTGACACCTGCAACAGAAGCCAAATGCAAACCTGGCGAATCTGAACTAATGCTTCATAAATAGTCTAAAAGAAAATGGTAGCAACCAACAATTATTTTTCCTAAATAATTAATCAAAGGATATCCGATTGATCAAATAATAATAGAAAAGCAAAAGGTGCCTTAGAGAAGTCCTTATGAAGAAAAAATATATCCCCAAAGGGGTGATTATTTTTCCATCTTAAATGCAAGTATTTTTATATACCTTTTATTTATTTAACACGATTTTAGCATTATTAACCTCTTAATTAGTTGTCTTCTCACCTAATGGTATGTGGTAGGGTCTGCATACTTCAATGATTAATCGATTAACAAATTAAACGATTATTTGAAAAAGCCATAAACCTTGATTAATGGTTTTAGTCCTAATGCCTGCCATGCGATAACTCCTTAATAAAACAAACTTCATACCTCACAAGCTGCTTTTTAGGATCCAAAATGTTGAGTAGTTTGTCTGCATACACCTTTTTAGATGCCGTAAAAAGGATGATCTAGAACAGAATGATACTGGGTCACTCTTCTAAAATGATAAATTCAAAATAAAAATGTACCAAAGGACTATCCTGGGGTTATCTACCTCGTATATTTGAGACATACGCTCCAGAAACTCTCTGAAAAATGGCCTCAGGCGCACATACACCTGTAGAGGACAGATTATGCTTTATTGGAGACTTTGGTTCCCTCTAGTGGCATAATATGGGAATGGAAACGAAAGTGAACCAACCTGGTAAATGACATCTTGGAAGAGGACAGGGAAGGTAAGTGCTGCATCCTCTAGTTCATTTAAGCTGCAGTGAACCAACGTTTCATCCTTTTCAGAAAACATAAAAAGTTAATTTTATCCAGTTACTTCCCGGTTCAAACATCTTTAACTTAACATTTTAAAGTTTTATTTTTCTTTTTTATTTGAGCAGTATAATCTTAAGACATTTTAAGAAAATTCTAATATTTAAAAAACACACATTTTTTTTTTTTTAAATAAACATAAGTCTTATTTTCTCTGTTTTATACTTCAGGATTTTACTGACTGCTCAAGAAATATCTGGTGTTTGTAAATGCAAAAGCTTATTTGCACATCATGCTTGGCTGGGACATCCTTGTAAAGAGATTAACAATCGATGGATTGTTATTCCCTGATAAAATCCAACAGGTTGAATAATTAACCAACCAGGTCCAGAACCAGAGAGAATTCAGGCGTGCTGCGAGTCTTTAGCGGCAGGGCTGGTTTCCTGGTGAGCTGCTCTTCTGTCAGAGGAGGGACATGCTTGATAAAGAAATACCTGCCAATCAAAAGAGAAAACCAAACGAGAAACACCCATATTTAGTCAAATCATAAAATACTGGAACTTTTAAACCTTTTAAACTGTAATATATTTGTATTTTTCTCATAGAATGATGCAGCATTAAGGCGCGTAAAAGGTTTGAGATTCCAAACCATGGCAAATGCAGATTCCCAGCAAACCTCTCTGTACGCTCAGAAAATATTTTATAACTATAAGTGTCAACAAGAAATTATAAAAAAATAAATAAATAAAAAACAGCTTTGTAGTTTCTTAAGTGTTATAGAAACACGGTCAAAGATAAATAAACCAGCTGTCTAAAAACATTGTAATGGACTGGAAAGGGTTTTCTCTGTCTTTGCAGTGCGTTACTTACGGGTCAAACACTTCCCAGTCTTCCTCATAGGATGCCTCAGGTGGCACGGTTGCTGGAACATCCACATACGTCACGTTCAGATTAGAACCTGGAGCTAAAAGCGCAACGAAAAAGCATAAATTTTTTTTTTTTTTAAACAGAACAGCCCACTACAAAAG